ATTAAATGCCCTTGAAACCGAATTAACAGAGGCAAAAAGAGAAAATAAATTAAAGAAAAATGCCTGATAAACTTTTAAAAGAAGCAAATGAACGACTCAACAAAAGCCTTAAGAAATAAGAACTTAGCAGAAATAGCAGCTGCTCAGGGGATGCTGGAAGGAGCCAACGCATTACGAAAAGATACCCAGAATTCGCAAGACGCAACCGATAAATTGCAATGCAAAATTAATAAAAGAAAATCGGAACTTACATATATCATCATTTCTACCTCCAGCAAAGAAGCCAGATAGAGAACAGTAAACCAAAGTTTTTTTTATTTTTTTAATATGATGATTTTATTTATTTATTTTTGTTAAGACTTTTGGTTCTTTAAAAATGGTAAATTGTTTTAAAGCACCCTTTCGCACAGATTAGAACTTTTTAAAACAGCACTGATAAACAAAAATTCAAAATTAAACACAAAATCCTTTTGTCAAAATGACAGTTTTAACTACTATAGTTGAATTTTTAAGTCATGAGCCCTACGGCAACAATGTCAAGCAACTGAATCAAATCGAGGGCAATATCAGTGGCGTATCGTGGAGTTTTATTTGGGGTTCGAAATGTTGTATACGTATGCAGTCCATTATACACGTTTGTGCTTGGGTTGCGAATCAAAATATGAGAATCGTATTTTGCCCACAAAACTAGTTTTGTGATTTTGCCTGGCTTAAACCATATTATGATTCGTTTTAACTTAAATCCTTCATTTGAACGTGCAAATTTATTAAAACAGTAACTCTTATGTAATTATATTATTAAATGAAACGTTGTAATTTATATATATCTATTAAATTATTGTAATTTTAAATTATATAGTTTGCGTTACACATTCTGCGTGGAAAAAATTAAGGGTACCTATTCTACTACTAAAAAATTCCATATACTTTGCAAATTTTCAAAATATGTATGTTAATTAATTTGGAAATATTAATATTTGTATAATGCACAATGGTTAAGATATTATTTTATATAATCATTTAGTTGTGGAGATTGCACACACACTGAAAGAAATATATGTTTGTTTTATATATAGCAATGTATGTGGTAGTCCATATATGAAACATAAAATATATTTTCCTTAACCATTTTTATATTTAATTTTAACATAATATGGTTAAGGCAAATATATTTTATGTTTCATATATATGGACTACCACATACATTGCTAAAACAAACATATATTTCTTTCAGTGCACCAATAATGGAGACAAAAATGGGACGTCTAATTTTTGTTTAATAGTAAAATGCAATATACTCTGAAAAAAATTGGTTTATTTAATAATTTAATGATAAATGCTCTTAACTGCATTAAAAGGATCTATTTTCATCTATTAATATGTTAATATTTATATATAAGATATCTTAATCGCTATCATCTTCCGATTCATCGTCGTTACCAATGTGGATTATCATTTCATGACCATGATCATCGTCCAAGATTCTTTCTTTATTGTACCATTCCTCTATAAATTTAAAAGTTTTACTTTGAACATATTATTATTTAATGGTATATTATTTTCTTCCAACCATTCCTTAATTTTGTTTTTAGTCCATGAAACCGTTGGTTGTTTTTCCATTAAGACGCTATGGTAAGACGCGTTGTCCATTATAATTAAAGAAGGTTCCTCTAAATTTGGGATGAATTGTTCTTGCAACCATTTCAAAAAAATTTCTGAGTTCATACCACCATGATAATCCGCCAGTTTGGACCTCGTGCAGTAAACCAATGCGGCATCGCGAATAAAACCTTTTTCATTACCAGCATGCAACACAATGAAACGTTTTTCATTATAACCTTCTGGTTTGCGTACACTTTTTGTGGATGAGTCTTGCCAGGATCTTGTATGGCTTCCTTTAGCAAATATCCAAGTTTCATCCACAATCCATTGTGGTTTCATCTAAATTTAAATAGGCAAATTATGGAAAATATTAAAAAATTCAAGAACACCAATGATGACAGGCTGTCAAAGTTTTGTAGACATTTGTGCATTTAGCTATCTTTGTCGATCCCATTATTATAAAAATATAAACATAAAGAACGCATGTTGTGGTATTATTAGACATACGTTTATCTATCGCTATATGCTACGTCCCAGTGGTCCTGCGGCGTGGAAAAACAATACGAATGTCTGAGCTATATCCTTACATATGTCACGTGAGGGTCATGATTAAAAAACCAAACTATATTAATGTAGGCGTATACTAAATTCGGTTGTACCAACTTAACGTTGACACCGCTGATCTAAGTTCAACAGAACTGCTGTTGAGTCGACATTGAAAAACTCATTTGACTGTGAACTGAGTTCATTAACTGATCTAAGTTCCCCTGAACCAAGGTTTAAACCCTAATTGAAAAACCGGCCCTTAATGAACTCAGTTCAAAGTCAAATGAGTTTTTCAATGTCGACTCAACAGCAGTTCTGTTGAACTTAGATCAGCGGTGTCAACGTTAAGTTGGTACAACCGAATTTAGTATACGCCTACATTAATAGTAGTTAAAACTGTCATTTTGACAAAAGGATTTTGTGTTTACTTTTGGAGTTTTGTTTATCTGTGCTGTTTAATTTAAACAGTTTAATTTAAACAGTTTAAAAAAGTTATAATCTGTGCGAAAGGGTGATTTAAAACAATTTACTATTGTTAAAAAACAATAATTATTATTTATTATGGATAAAAATCGTGCTGCCAACTTTACCTCTTTTAAAGAGGAATTATTTGTATGTATTTCGTTTTATAATAATAATAATAATAAATGAACTTTATTGCAAAAAAAAGTTAATACAATTTCTTACAAATGGCCATTGACCGAGGTCCTTCAGCCGGTGAACATATCTTGAATATATGTAACAAAAAAAAAACAGTATATAATCGTGAAATTGAAATTAATTAATTAGTATGTTATCTCGTGTTTGTTTAAGATGTTCCCATATGGTCTTCTCTGGGTGCTTGAATTTTCTGTTGCCCTGTACCTCCAAACACAACTCGCTCAGAATGTTGTAGTTAGTGTCCTTGCTAATAAAGTTTGTAGATAATTTGATAAATCTTTCCATAATTGGTAAGATATTGTAGGTAGCATACAAAAGGTCGTTGGGAGGGTTGTGTAGAGAATTGGTTGGATGTCTCATTTTGGAGATTTTTCGGAGTGATGAGGTTTCCCCGGTTTTAATTAGGCTGGTTTCCGGGCATTATTAAGTAAGATGCATCCATATTCCAGGATAGGTCTGCATATTAAGGTGTATATTCTTTTTTTTGTTTCATCATTGATGCCTTTTTTGTTGTATGTAAGTCCTCTAAAGTGGCTGGCCCTTGTTAGTGTTTTCTTCTTTGACAGGGAAGAGTGAAGATTAAAGTTTACTTTATTATCCAGTGTGATTCCCAAGTATTTTACGTTAGATTTTGGCTCTATTATGTCATTGTACATCTTAATTGTTATATTAGGGTTAATCTTGTTTTGGTGGAAGTGTATTAGTTGAGACTTTAGTGGATTTGGTTTTAGTCTCCATTTGTTAAACCATGCCAAGATTTGATTTGACAGAACTTGGAGTTGGTCAGAGGCAGTTTTTTGATTTTTACTATGGCAAATTATAGCGGTGTCATCTGCGTATTGAAGTACATATTTATCTTGGTCAAAGAGCATGGGATCTTCATTGTAGATGTCGGCACAATAAAGGTTATAGAGCAGAGGGGAGAGAGGGGAACCCTGGGGCAGTCCTTGTTTGGCTATGAAGTTTCTTGAGGTTGTGCGAAAGGGTGCTTTAAAACAATTTACTATTGTTAAAAAACAATAATTATTATTTATTATGGATAAAAATCGTGCTGCCAACTTTACCTCTTTTAAAGAGGAATTATTTGTATGTATTTCGTTTTATATTATAAAATGAATTTGTCGTTTTTTGTTACATGTGATGAATTTTACTAAAATCTATTACCTATTCAGTAATTATTTTTATAACTAACCTATTGGTCGGATTTGCAATAACTGGTCTAATTAAATCCACTATCCTACGTACAAAAGGTTTGGAAAACCGAAATCTGGCAAAAAATTCATCATTAATCCTCAAAATGATTCGGTCTTACCCGTGGCCTGTGCACACGAAGTTGAATATTATATAGGAATTCGCCAATTTCCTAATCATCCTCAGTAACTACCTCAAACATATATGAATAGGTCAATGCAGAAACTGAATATGTCCACTTTTTAGGGCTATTGAGTTAAACATGGATTTACTATAAGTAAAGGGAGCCCGATCGAATGGCGTAGAAATTTCACATGTCACGGTCATCTAGAATATACAAAGGCGTTAATATAGTAGAGAAACTGAATATGTCCAGAACATATGTCCACTTTCTGTTCAGTTTTTCTTATTTATCTCAAAACTAGATAGGTAGGACATATTCAGTTTCTGCATTGACGTATTCATATAAGTTGGATTACAGGATAGATTAAAATTAAATGACTATAGACCGTTGTTTCTCCTTAAAAGAACACATTTTATTAAAAGAAACAAAATAATAATACAATGTTACAATTACCTTAAAAGAAAATCGGTTTTAATAGTCTTTAATTCAGTCTGTTGGCAAATTCACAAACACAAAAATAAATTAAATAAATATTCTGTCACTTTGACAAAACAACCCCAATAATGTTATCACCCGAAACTAGGATACTTTAAAAGTAGAATCTTCACTTTTACACATATCCATTGGTTTATTATAACAGCAGATTACAAAACAAGAAATAAACAACGTAATACACAATAAAGCAGAGAAAAATTAAGTTATGTCAAGTTGAACTTCGTTTAAACGGCCAACAGTGACAGTTCATCTTTTGATTTAGTTTAAACCAAATTCAAGCTTGAACTTTGATTGAAAAACGGCATATTTTGTTTGAACCAAGTTGAAATGCTGAACCAAGTTTAAACTATGATTGAAAAACCGGCCCTAAATCTCCTTTCAGGTCTCTATTCGCACCGGGCCATCTTGGATCATCTAAAGGTCGAAAGTGAGCCACCGACTGCGCCATGCCGCTGCCGAAACGGGTGATAGAACCGATTCACGTGACGCGCGGCACGTTGCCTGAAGACTACCCGCTCCCCTCGGAGCTTGAGGGCGTCACCAACGGCACTTTAGCCAACACGGTGCGACAGCTCAGTTCTCTGAGCCGACACGCCGAGGATATGTTTGGGGAGCTGGCCAGGGACGCGCAGCAGCTCTACGACAGGTCCAACTCCTTGCAAGTAACGAGATTTTTATATTTATAATAAATATTGTTATTCTTCGAAAACTATTCTAGGCGAGAATTGACCGACTAGCGATAAAAGTGACCCAACTGGACAGCACTGTGGAAGAAGTGTCCTTGCAGGACATACACATGAGAAAAGCCTTCAAAAGTTCCACAGTTTTCGATCAGCACGTAAGTAAAGTTCCACATTACGCACTCGTGCATGAAACTTGTGATAACGCATCAAAATAATCAGTGGGCCGATAATTTGGACCACTAGTCTTTCAATTAGGATTCCATTAATATTTTAATACATAAAAACGTTATATATTATAATATATTATGAGCTCTATTTGAATGTTTTGCAAAAACAGTTTTTGATACAGGATATCCGTAAGAGGAAGGCGTTCAAGAGCTCGACAATGTTTGATCAGCATGTGAGTAAATAAGAAAAACTAAAAAAAATGGCATTAACCTCAAATGGCATGTGGTGTAAGGTGTAAAGTATTTTTTGGGCATGTTTTGGTGTTTTGTTTAAAATATGGAACCCCTTTCTTAGTATATTAAATTAGTGTCTAGAGTGTCGAAAAAATGAACCTGTTAAAATTTGAGCTCCTAATTTGAATATAAAAAGTCCTGCTTCGCGAATTTATTTTTCCATTGAAATAACTTATAACTTATCAACAAATTGAACGTTCTACAAAAAAGTATATTATCATTTTATGATGAATTCACTCTTTTAAGTTATTCAAGGTCAAATTTGAATTAACAGTTTTCTATTTAAAAATGATTTAATAAATGGTAATCATTTGCGGTAATTCAAATAGGTTTAATTTTACAAATAAAAACCTTTTTATTGCATGAATTCCAAAAAATCTTGAAAATCAAGCCAAAACACGGCATATTTATCTCTAGAAACAACGAAGATACCTCGAAAATGCATCATCGATTCGTTTTTGTTTTTCTGTTACAACTTCTTTGTTTTTGGTCGTAAGTATGCCTCAAACTTCATGATTTTTTGTTTTCTATTCAAAAATGATTTGATAAATGGTAAGCATTTGCTTTAATTCAAATAGGTTTAATTTTGCATATAAAAACCTTTTTATTGCATAGATCCCGAAAAATCTTGAAAATCCAGCCCAAACACGGCATATTTATCTCTCGAATCAACGAAGATAGGTTGTTTTCCTGTTACAACTTTTTTGTTTTTGGGCATAAGTTACTTATGTGTTGTTGAGTTTTCTAACAAGGAAGCGTTAAAATTTTGCCTATGATTCATTTTAAAAACGTTAAAATGCACAAAACAAATCCGGTTAAGCCGGCAAAACAAAAAACAATGTCGTAACCTCACTTTTTTAATAAATTAGCCAGAGAATTGGTTGGTTAGTTTACAAACTAGCTAAAGCTTGGCTATTTTGTGTTACTAGAAATTTTGGTTTTCATATTAGCCAAACTGAATTGGATAGTATTAGTGATGTAAAATTCTCGAGCACGTATTTTAGAAGAACGTTCCCCGAGCACAAACGAGCATGGACGAGAATAAACGAGCATAAACGAAAAAAACCCGAGAATTTATTTTTGGGGTGTGATAAAGTATTCAAAAACTTTTCCTGTTTTTTCCGAAAATTCTCAAAATTCTCAAAATGCTAAAAATGCTCAAAATTCTCCTAACGCTTCTTAAGAAAAATGACACTGTATTAATTAAATTTACACTGTATTAATTTAATTTACACATTTTGTTAAATGATTTGCCATTCGTGTGGCATGCCGGCTGTATTCACAATTACAAAATTTGCAAGAATAAACGTCTTTACTATGTCTTTTTTTATGAACAAAAATCAAATGCCTCGCATTTTCTTCTGGACATATTTATTAAATCAAATATTTAGGTTTTTTCCCGCGGAAAACAAAAAAAAATAACACTACCCAATCTCTCTAATCACACACACTGACCCGAGCACTGACCTTTACGCAACGAATCGAACGTGTTAACTGAATCAAAATCAAAATAGTCAAAATATTTTTAAAACGCAACAGCCGCATAGAAATACATGCAAAAACTACGGTCGGCATCGCCACAAAAGAGACCCGCGCACAGTGTTTCAATTCTCGAAATTTTCGGCAAAATATCAAGGAGTAGTCGGATTCTCCTAAAAATCCGTATATAGAGGTTTTTGCTGATAACGAATCTAGAATCAGAATTCCAAAATTCAAAATGGTAGATCCAAAATGGCGCACATATTTGTCAAAAAATTGACGGAATAAATTAAAAATCACCATACAGGGTTTTTGGGGACGCTGATAACGAATCTGGAATCAGAATGTCAAAATTCAAAATGGTAGATCCAAAATGGCGGACATATTTGTCAAAAAATTGACAGAATTAATTGAAAATCACCATACAGGGGTTTTTGTGGTCGCTGATAATGAATCTGGAATCAGAATTTCATAATTCAAAATGGTAGACCTCAAATGGCGGACATGTTTATCAAATATTCTCGAAATTAATTAAAAATCCGTAAGAGGTTCTTTTTAAAATGTAATAAAACATCTTTTTATAAAATAGCTTAATTAAGTTTATTATAATTACATTTATATGACATTATTTAATACCTACATATATATTAAACAATCTTCGTCACTGGATTCGCTCGTTGTATCATTAGCAGAGCATGGGAAACCATCAGAAGATAGCAACAGTTTTATTGCTTCGCGGGAAAAAGATTTGCTCTTTTTCGGAGCAATTTTTCTAAAGCTAGAAATATACGGATCGGAAGAAGCCAATGAAAATCATCTTCCATCGTTTTCTCCCGAGAAACTTTCAATATTTATTTATAGAATTTAAATATAACAGATTTTATACCAAGTGTTTTAAATTTGTATTATTTCTTTTACTTAATATTTTAGCAACGATTTGTTAATTCGCTAAAAAAATTGTCAAAACAAATAACCACAATTCAAATTTGACATTAACACACTACAATGCGCATGCGGGGTTGTTTTAACGCACCTACAAGAGGTGGGTTAAATATGTAAAATCGGTGTTAAATATCTAAGTAGTCACGAACGATTTACGCAAGTGAAAGTCTAGACACCGCTGTTGTAATAAACGTTTTGAGTTAAATCGAGTAAACGTCATGAACGCAACCCAGAAATAAAAAAAAATCTTATATTTTGTAAAGCAAAAACACAGATACGCGCTCGACATACGCTTAAAATCGGGGGTTTTTTACCACAACCGTGCCTGAGCGCCCAAGAACATGTAGTTTTAAAGAGCCGGGGGCAAGTTGGGGCAGCTAATTTATTGATGGCTTGATAGACAAAACTACTTACAATTCATTACAATTTTTGTAGCTCCATTGTTCTAAAAGCTCGATTCAAAGTTTGCGATTTTAACAGACCGATCTTGTCGGTTACAATAACCCGTTGTACAAGCAAAATCTACGAAACCAAATACATATCTGAATTTAAAATACTTTGAAGATCACCCTTCATCAAACCGCATAACAATCGGACACACCAAACACAAGTTATTCACTTTTAAACAATAAACAATTTTCCGCAGCGATCGCCTGTTAAGTACCTTCAACTGAAAGCATCAAGTTTAAACTGATGTACAAGACAAAATATATGTATTTTATATATATTTTTTTTAATACAGGATGGAGACAGGTATTAACCACCCGTCTAACTCAAAATTTACTTGAAAAAAAATGTCAATTTTTGAGGTTTGGCCGATATTTTCCAGAATTGAAACACTGTGCGGCGGTAATATACGGAAAACCGACGCCGCTTTGTCTTTGTGATACCGTTGCCGACAGTAGTTTTTGCATCTTTGTTAACTATTTGAAGATATTACCAGCGCTGTATTATGTGCAATACACGCGGTCACGCGGATGAAACGCGCCGATTGGCCAGAATCGTGCTGAAAATTCTCTAGAGAACGTTTGCGCACGATAAATCGTTTGGACACGAAAGAACGATCTATCATGCGCACACGAACGATTTAATTGTGCGCGAACGTTCGCGAATATTCGCCACAGCACGAAGGGAACGTTCCCCACTCTACATCACTAGATAGTATACAAACTATCCAGCTATTTTAGTTTCCCTAATTTCAAGTAAATTAGCCAAAATCCTTGGTTATTTTGTAAACTAGCCGCTAATTTAGTTGAAAATTCCACACCTGTAATTTTTAACCAATCAAAACGTGTATTTTTGATAGATCACCATGGCAACGGTTGAATTTTAGTGGAAATTTTTTCCTCGTGGGTACCCAACAGCGAATTATACTGGAAATTTTTTGACGTTTATAATGACAGAATATTTTTTTGATTATTTTTTTTGACAGTTCTCTGTATTGTTGGGACATTGTTGAGGCATTGTTGTTGAGGGAACCTACAGCGAATTACAGCGATAATTTTTTGAAAATTTTCTCTGGTAGTTGCTATATATAAAAAACAAATTAAATCTTAATTAAATGTTGTTTTATTCATTATGAAATTCTTATTTGTTAACTGTACATTTCGTCTCATGGTGCAATTCTATTGGCCGACATTTGGGACGGAAAAATAATCCCCCGAATACCACACGAGCTTCAAAATTATCTGGCATTTCCCTCAAGGTTCCCTGCAAACAAATAAAGTCGTCAAGTTTTTCAGGAAAAATCACTCGCGCTTCGCGCTCGTGATTTTTTAACCTGAAAAACTTGACTCCTTCATTTGTTTGCAACGAACCTATCGGGAAAAATACCCGATAATTTTGAAGCTCTTGTGGTATTATAAGTGAAAATTCCACACCTGTAATTTTTAACCAATCAAAACGTGTATTTTTGATAGATCACCATGGCAACGGTTGAATTTTAGTGGAAATTTTTTCCTCGTGGGTACCCAACAGCGAATTATACTGGAAATTTTTTGACGTTTATAATGACAGAATATTTTTTTGACAATCTGGTTTTTATTTGTTTACATGATAATTTTGATACATTTCCATTACAAAGTTTAGATGTTTTCTATATTCGTTGGACACCTCCTTTCTTCTTAATGGCGAAAATGCAGGACTTGAAATAAATTAAATGTCTATGTCTAATGAAATATATATAATATTTAGACACTATTCTATTCACCTTTTTTTCCATTTAGCACTTTGAGTTTTGAATAGTTAAGATGCAAATATTCGTGAACAATTCAAAGCAAATTTTCTTTCTTCAAGTAGGAGCCACAATCCTCTAATAATGCGGGTAAATAAGTCATTGCACGATGATTGATCATTACAGCAGACAATTTCACATTTTTTTACGTCGTGCCGCTTGACAGCTTCAAAACTGAAATAACTTTTAGGTTGGGGTTGACTTAGTTGCCATGGTAACTAAATAATCAAGTCAAGGTCAAGTTAAATCAAAAAATAAATTTTAATTATTTAAACACAATTTGGT